GCATCGGAAAAATGGTGATTGAGGAGGTTTAGTGTGTGCTCATTACTACCAAAAACCTCAAAAATGTGTAATTTGCGTGGCTATCGCAGGTATCCGAATTGTCTAACCTGTGTTTGTGGCCGAACCATAGGTTGCCCTCGCCCTCGCCTTTGGCTGAACAATATTCTTGTGTCAGCTCGATCAGAGTCTTTGAGTGTGTCCGAATTTTCGAATGTGTCGACACATTTCAATTTGTGAATTAAAAATCTCTTTTATCTGATACAACTATTGCCTGTCCATATTTTTCTGACATCATAACCGGTCAGATATGTAGTTTATATATTTAGAATTGATGTTAAATTCTTTGATGTCCGCTCTCTGGTCCTTGTTCAGTTGGTTCCAGTTGTGAAATATATCTGTTCCGCAGCTTGCGTGCTGCTTTAGTCATGAAGTCACTGAAGATTCGCAACAGTGTTTCAAAGAAAAACCTTTATTTTTCTAATTTACTGTTGATCAATTGCAGCACAGGAATGGTCAGAACTCACGTAAGTAATCAATAGTTGTTTATATGGTCTATTAGTGGAATCTGAGCCGGCAAACTATTTAGTAAAACATGAACCACATCTTTGAAGATAACTGTCAGCATGTTTTATGACAATCAGCTTAGGAGCCAGATTGTTCAAGGCTTTTTAAAAAATCTCTGAGAAGTATACTTGGGTCCTAGCTCAGAACTTTTGTCTTTCTCCTGTATATGTGTTCTAGACGCATTTCAGATATGGATATAGAACCTTCTGACATCAAGATGGAGCCACCCAGTAGTCCTACGGATCAACTGGATTCGGAGATCCAAGTAATGCTATATATTTGCATATCAAATGGACTAATTGAGTATATACTTCTTATGGTACATTTTTATCCGGTCTGCATCATCCAGGTTGAGGAGATGGATATCAAACCAATAGTTTATGATTTACTCAAGGTTGAACCGACTGAGGAAACCCAGATAAATGAGCAGTATTCTACTGTTCAAAGTGATGCGGTGGTGCACGGAAATGTAAGCCCAGATCCCATTTACAGGCTGTATCAAGTTAAGGGAAATAAGCAGATAAGCATATAAACACATAAGCGGTTGCTGCGAATGCCAAAACTGTGACAATGTGACCGATATTTTTGATGGTTCATTCACTTCCGGTTTACTTCTGAAAAATTTAAAAGCTGTCGGCAGAACTTCGGGTGCAGGCAGAAAGGCGGGATTGACCAAAGCATCTTTTACTCTGCAAACCCAAGTGTGTAGTGTGTACTAAGTAACACTCTTCCTTGTACATGCTTGCCATCATGCATACAAGTGTGTACATGGCAAGTCGACTTGCGAAGTACACAGTACAGTGCACTTCCGTACTGCAAGATGAGGATAACATTTTACTACCATCGCATATACTAGTGTTTACTTCACAAGCCGACTGTTGCTATCAGTCGACTTGCCATAAGTACACACTCACAAGAAAGAGTGTACTTAGTACACACTTGGGTTTCCAGAGTATGCTTTTACCTTCTCCTTATTTCCCTTAAAATAATACCGTAAGTCAATATTAGAAATTAAGGTGTTATAACATTTGCGTATTCTAACTTATCTTCGCATTTACTGCCATTTAGGGTGAGACAGCGATTCAGGCTCGACGAACTACTGCAGCTGACATCATAGCCATTAAGGACCTGTTCCATCTTTTCGAGGAGTTTAAGACCATGGCAACCTCTGAAAGATCTGTGGCCTGTTCTCAATCTCTGGGGTGCCATGTAGCAGTTCACTGTCCTGTGTGTGGGGCCGCCTTTATCGGACTTTATGACAATATAGCGCAACTCTACAATCATTTTCAGTTAGCGCATTCCAACGAATGTGTTGAGCTTACTTTTGCAGATGCAATCTCATACATGAGAAGAGCTCTTGACTTTGATGAAAGGGTGGTCAGCGTCATATACCAAAACCGTGGCTGATTATTGTCAGCACAATCATGCATCTCATACGTAGAGCGGCCTTCATAAAACGTTATATAATGGGCCATCCATATTACGTGACCGATTTAGATGGGTGGGTGGGTTTGGTCTCGCACTACGGCCAGTCACGTGGGTGGGTATGGGGTGGGTATGGCGCAGGTCACGTAGTATTTTTTAGACGACCTGATTAGCACCGAAACAAACGCCCGCGTCGTCTGCTCTCTGGAGCTGCGACTGCGGCTGCGTGGCGCGCTCGCGTGCCTCGGCCGGCTGCCGGCTTGGCCTGCATTTAAGCTTGCCTAATATTATGCGAACGAGTCGTGCACATTACTGTCTTAAAAATATGCGCACGAAGACCTTCGTGTGCATTGCTCCCGAAGACTTACGCTCACGAAGACCTTCGTGCTCATTATATCGTAATAGTTACGCGCACGAGCCAAACAAGAAATAGTACTATCTCTTGGCTTGAGTAAGACGACCGCGAGCTCCAATGATCGTGCACATAAAATTTATAATGGTGCGCGCACGAGCCGGGCACGCATCACCCAAAATGTTATGTGCACGACTCGTGCGCGCACCACCAGGAGCGTTATGCGCACGAAGGTAAAGTAGATTTAAAAAGCTAAATGTTTTATAAAATCCTGAACATTTTTGAAGTGAACAGATGTTGCTCTCTCTTATACACTCCCTCACACACCAGTGCATCTCGCTTATCGAGGGGGCTGGGAATTGTCGGAAATATCTATTCTTCCCGAAGCTCGTGTAATAAGCACCATGGCCATGAAAAGCCCACATTATTCAATGTGGTCTAAAAAGGCTTCACGTGCGCATACCGGGCCTCAAATTAGAAATCGTTTTGTGAATGTTGTTCTTACATGTTCTTACAATGTTGGAGTAGTCCGACCCGCACCACGCTCGCCGCGCCCCGCTCGCCGCGCCACGCCATGCTCACCGCGCCTTGCTCGCCGCGCCTTGCTCGCCGCGCCGTGCTCGCCGCGCCATGCTTACCACGCCACGCTCGCCGTTACACGCCACAATTGCCACGCCACGCTCGCCGCACTGAATGCCGCGTTCAAAGCCGCGTTCAATGCAATGCCTATAGCCGCCCCTGCGCCCCGTCACGTTGCGCTTTAGCGCATGCGAAGCCTAACAGACGTTGTGTGACTGTTAACACGTGCAGTGCTGCGCGACCACAGTGTGGTCACGCTTTGGTGACTTCGTTTGCCGGCCTCGTTTTGAGATCCGTTGTTGTTCTTGTTCTCCACGGCTTCCGATTCTTGCCATTGTTTTGGCCCTGCCACTTTTCAACGCCATGCTCGGCTAGGGCGTTATGTCGCTTATGGGCCCCGCTTGTATGTCGGCCGAAACGACGCTGCCGCCAGCCGGAATGTGAACAGCTCGTTGTGCCATTATGTATAGTGCTGTGTGAAGCACTTATTTGTGAGATGTGAAATGTGTGAAGTGTGAATTTGAAGTCAACATTGTAATCTCCAG